AGCTGGTCCTGTGTGACATTGAAAATTCATTTTAACTACTGTATTATTTCAGGACTTTAAAAAAGAATACAAAAAATAAAAGGAGGCTGGTTATCTTCCCTCCTGACCGCAGTAGGTTTATGCCCTATCATCATCATTCCAGTGCCAACAACTGTGTAACTTACTGTTGTCATATTGCCCCTTTAGATGTGCTTTATCATAGTCCAGGAGATTATTAGAAAGGAAAGCAACTAAAACTGTTGTGTAAATCATACATTTGCTATCTAAGTGCAATCCATTTTTGCTACTATGCATGAATGAATCTTTTGTTGTTAGAGAAAGACAAGGGTTGCTAGGATTGGACAAGATGACCTCCAGAGGTCCCTTCCAACCTCAACCATTCTTTGAATATAAAGCTGTCTTGTATTAGGACTTATTTTTCAATTATTACCTTGAAATGAAGTTAGTAGAGACAGCCTTATGGATAAGCTGATGAATTGGCTGAGGATTTTGGGTAGTTTATTTAATAAGATATCAACATTGTGTCTTAATTAAAAGTACTATGCAGGGGGAAAAAGGAGGACTTGTATTCAAAATGCCTAACTTGGAAAGGAAGATCTCAGTTTTCAGGAAAAAAACAAACCAAACCCAACAAAAATCCCAAGTAAAAACTCCTTCAGTGTTTACTTCTTTTCTTGTATAATAAGGTACCAAAGGAATAATGTTATTCCTGGTTTTATGTCACTGTTTGACAAAGTGGTTTCCTGTAGGTTCTGTAAATTTTATACTAGCTATGTTGCATACAGGTTTGCAGTTAAATCTGTAAAATAACACGATTGAAATTTTTGACAAATCCTTCTTGTGTTTTGTGACTACGGGTCTATAGCTCCTATTTTTGTTTCATTTAATCCAGGTAAACTAAAGTAGAGCATATTCTTGCACCTTCAGTCAATGATGTGTAGTTACTGAACACCTGTATCTTGCACCACTTTTTATATTCTGTTTGATTATTTTTCTTGCTTTAACCTGCGTAGGATGAAATAATTTAGTGACAGCATGTCCCTGAACTATCTAAGAAATAGAGATTTAGTTTAGTTATTTAAGCTCTTCATGGGCTCTGTACAGGGAAGTGATGTCTTCAAAGTACTGTTTAACCTACTCAAAGTTAGTTGTATAGGACAGGTGGGGTGATTTGCGCTCTAGAGATGCATTTCGTGCTCTTTGTGACTGGTAAGGGAATCCAGACAAAGAGCTTAAATTCAACCTAGCTTTTAGGTGGCTGTGTTTTTTTGGGAGGGATCCACCTGCTGTGTATTTCGGTTTTGACTGCTGGTTTGTTGATAGTTTGACATATATTTGAGATGCTGTTTTGTCTGTTTTGTTTTTATAGTCAGTTAAAAACTACACCAAATGTCATGTGAGGAATGAGCAGATCTGCAATAAACTGACCAGCTGCAAAAGCTGCTCGCTACACCTGAACTGCCAGTGGGACCAGCGGCAGCAGGAGTGCCAGGCCCTACCTGGTAAGGGCTGTGGGGCGGTGACGCTGCTTTTTATAGTTGTTTTCAAAACTTGAGTAAACCTCCATTACTGCCAAAGAACATTTGTTCTATGAGTAGACCTGGTTTTGTTTTACTCGTGCTGATTCTCCCTGCCTGACTGTGCCTGTGCAGGTGAACACAGATGTAATTACATCACTGATTGATATATCAATGCTACCTTTAATCTTGTTAGGAGCGATAATGATACTAGCAAAGGCATAATGGCATGTACCTCTGCACAAGCCAGTGATGAGTTGTAGCCTGTGGGGATCACCGAGTGCGGAGCTGAATTGCCATACTGAGTCCTTTACTGTTACGTATTCACTGACACTGTTACTTTTGCTAGCTGGGGTTTTATCTTGTAAATTATACTTCAATTATACTTCAATTTTCCTGTGTAGATGGGGCCTAAGATCTATTTTCTTGATTGTCTAATGTTGGTAATAGTATGAAAGCAGTGAATATTAAAATGCTAATATAAAATATTCTCAGAAGGTGACTGTTAACATTCTGAAATAATATTTATTCTGTAATTCATATTCATAACTAAATACATGCAGTTAGATATCAGAACCTTTTCTATTTGATCTTTATGTCCAGATGAAGTTAATGAACAGGGTTTTTTCAGAGATTATTCATTAAATAACTTCAATCAATTTATACTGTGCAGTTTAAAACTGCATTTGTGTAATGTTTGTAAAGATTAACAGTTGCTCTGAATTACTTATTTTTTAACAGTTATCTGAATCTGAGTAATGCTGAAATATGTTGAAGAGGAAATATTTTCTAAGATGTTATCTGAATTTCCTATCAATCTGATTGCATTTGTATTTAGGCAAATCTAAATGCAAAGATAGAATGATAAAGCAAAGATAGGGTAAAACTGTGATCCCTTAATTCTAGGACAGTTGTTTTCAGATTTTGAAATTTACATAACATTTAGGTAAATTAATTGGTTAAAGCGCTATTAGTTATGTACATAATATAATCTCTAATATTTAGTTGTGCGCAAATCTGAGTACAGGAAAGAAATAGTATCATAATGATATTGTTATGCTGAAACTTAGGATATACCTCATAAATATTTTATAAGTTGTTAAAAGTTTCTTTTAATAAAAATACACTATTCAATATGATACTACTTGGTGTTTTAGAATTTATGTGATGTGAAAAAGGAAATTGAGTGTGGGATGTATTTTGAATTATGATCTCGGGAAGATAAAATTCAGACTCCCTTAGGTTTTTAAAAAGTTTTTTCAAATCAGCTTTAATCGTATACTTTTTACACTAGCTCATCTGTGTGGGGAAGGATGGAGTCATATTGGAGATGCCTGCCTCCGCATAAATTCTAGTCGTGAAAGCTATGACAATGCCAAACTGTATTGCTACAATTTAAGTGGGAATCTTGCCTCATTAACAACCTCAAAAGAAGTGGAATTTGTTCTGGATGAAATACAGAAGTATACACTTCAGGTAACTTGAGTAACTGTAATTGATGCTTATGTGAATTAAATTTGCTTTGAGAAATCTATTTTAGGCATTTGTCCAAAGGGAAGAAGGTGTATGCCTTCGAAGAAACGTAGCGTGATGCTAAAGACTGATGTAAGTGGTGTGTAGGATATTAAGGAAATCTCATCTTTAAAGCTAATGACACAGCAGTTCCCAAGTGTTTCTCCGTACCAGATTTAACTGTTACAGGTTACTGGTTAGTTTCAAGATGTGACTTGAGAATGGCTGGGACACTGATCTGGAAAATCCTAGTCCTTTTCAATACATTGTGAC